CACCGGCGATGCAGCCGCCTCCGCCGATCGAGGAGCCGGTAGCAAAGCGCCAGCGCGTCGACGGTGTCATTCTCATGCCCGAGAACGAGTTTGCCGAGGCGTATCCGGTAAGCTGTTGTCCTGAAGGGAAGAAAGCGGATGCACATTACGTGCGTAGGCGCCGATTCGCCTCCACGTGCAAGTCGCGAATGAGCCCGAGAACCCGAACGGCTGGTCCCTCCACGGCCAAGTGCTCACGCTCGAGGTCGACATTCGCGCCAGCGTGCGCGAGCTCAAGCAGTTTGTCCTTGTACGTCTGCACATCTGGTCGCCGTCGTCTGATTTTTGCGATTAGGAGCACACCAAGATGCCCATTGCCAAGCAGCAGGTCAAGGCGCCGATCGTCGGCTTCCTCAAGGACTCGCTCAGCTTTGCCCACTACAACATGTACACGGACCTCGTCCTCGAGCTCAGCGCGCGGCAGCGTGGCGGGCGTCGCTAAAGTGTGCCAACGCATTTTCTTTTTCTATTTCTTTTGTTTCTTTTATGCTTTCTTTTATTATCGTTGAATCGGCGTTGTCCGGATAAAAGGACTTGGTCGAGCCGCAGCAATGGTGAGCTGCGGTCGCGTCGGGGCAGCCTCATGACGCGTGCGCTGCGTAGAGCGAGAGTGACGTGGTGAGCAACCGCATGTCGGAGAAGATGCTTCTCGGCTGGGCCCTTCTCGCCGAGACGTGCCCCGTCGACGAGTGCTACACGCCCTTGATGAGCACGAAGAAGCAAGCACACAAGGTCTACTGCGTCAAGTGCGAGCGCTGGTTCAGCACCGAGCTTGCGGCCAAGAACGAGTCGCCCAAGGCGCCAGAGCCCAAGGTCGAGGCTGCCAAGGTCGAGGCGCCGTGGCAGGAGTCCGAAGCCGAAGCGGCGGCCTACCGCGAAAAGAAGAAGAAGCGCGATGCGGCCAGCGCCAAGATGGGCGAAAAGATGTTGCAGGTAACACTACGCCGTGCTGGGCAGTTCTCTCGAGTCGAAGCGCCGGTCGTGTAGGGATGGACGCTCCTCGGTTTGCATTGCCCCGTGCCCGAGTGCTTGATGCCATTGATGCGCAGCCGCGAAGGCCAGGTTCGCCGTCAGCCCATGCATCTACCTCAAAATGGCCCCGTGCATTAGATGTACTGCGTCAACTGCGAGCAGTATGTGATGACCGAAGAAGAGATGGCGGCGCACACCAAGACTACGACCGAGCAGTCGGCGGTCTCGGAGGCTTCGTCGGCGGTGTCAAGCCCGGTTGCAGCGCCAAAGCACGCGCCACCCCGCCGCCAACGTCGCCGCGTACGTTCGGACTTTGAGAAACTCGCGATCGAATGGCTATGGAATCATCTAGTGGCCAAGCGGCGCGCGCTCTCGGTGCCCAACGAGTTTGACTTTGCAGCGATGAACCGCATGGCGATCGACGTCCTGTACGAGGTAGACGACGCATCTTTCGATGCAAGCGCCACCGACTTCTTGCTGCATAGAGAATGGACACGGCCCTCGGTCAGCTCGAAGCGGCGACCAAGCCCAAGGACGCGGCCGAGATCGCCAAGCTGGTGCGGGAGCTGGCCAAGGCCATCAAGGCCCTCCAGTCGCTCGGCGACGACGCGTAGACGTTCATGGTGTCCCTGCGGAGCGATAGATACCAGCATCAATAGAGCAACACTTAAAGTTTCCATACATGCCGACGCGATCAGTCTTTGGCGCTCGCAGCTTGGACGTTGGACGTGGTGTCTTCTCTACCTAATCACCCATCCCACAGGACCTATGACGACGACTTGGCATCGATTTGCAGCTAGGCAGTCCAACCTCGGCGCCGTCCACAACCACCTCGGGACTTTAGTGCACAAGCGCGCCGTCTTGTTAGCGCGAGTTGATCGAGGCAGTGGTGGTATAGCCTGTGTCTTCTTCAAGCATGCCAGTTCAGGTGTGTGGTGTTGCATTGGACACTTATTTCCACTCGCAAGCTCAGCTAGACCAAGCGTCCATAACGATGACGAGAATATGTGAATCATTTCTACGCACCCTCGGCGGCTACATACCTGCATGACATACCTGGGTCTCGCACGCCAGTGTCCGTCGACTGTTTCCATACTGTAGTGCTCCTCCCACAACGCATGGTCGCCGAGAGGTAGCCGGAGGCCCAAGTGTCTGCAAGTAGCGCAGTACCTTCTTGGACCCGCGGCGCATCGCTGCCTTGTACCTGCCTCGTATTAGCGTCCATCCAAAGCCGCCGACTTCGTGCAAATGCTGAAGCATGTCGAGGAGGTCGCTCGGATCATCATGCGCTCCGAGACGCGAAGTGGCAGCGTCGTGGGTATCGGAGAAGCCTCTTGCACGAGCGCCCTACAAACTGCGTGCGGTGGCCACGAGCACAACGCAATGTTGTCGCTGCTGTCCGAACCGAGTTGCCAGCAGCGGCGCGAGTGGACGTAGGCAGGGGGATGTCGACGTGCGTCTTCCGAATCGCATCCGCGATCGATCGGTGGCTGCAGCGTTGATCCAACCCCTCGTGCAAACGACAGCGGCGTCCATTGCGCTCGGTGGCACCTCGTAGCCACGAGCGGCGAGCAGCTCCAAGGTATCGAGGTGGCCTTGGCTCGCTACCCAATGCGCTGGCGTCCCTCTGACGTAGTCGCCATGCCAAGACACCCATCTCGCTGTGGCAGCGCTGCGCCCACGCCAGTGTTTTTGTCAGCTCTGTCGACGCCGCCCGTTCGAAAAGTACGTGTACGTCACCATCGCGAGGTGACCCGTGTGGGCCGCCGTGGCCAAGGCGGCGTGGGTCCCAGAGCCCGTAGACTTCGTGAAGCCAGCGCACGACGTCAAAGTGGCAGCAAGCGCCATTGCGTCTCCATTGCAGCCATCGCGCCGGCCATTCGAGCACGTGCAGGAGGCCGCGTAGCATGCTCCGATCCGACGCGAAGGCGGCTCGTATGCAAGAGCTCGAGCGACGCCATGTCACCGTTGAAAGCCGCGAGCTCCAGCACTTGGCAGCGTTCCCATCGGTCGAATGGACAGGGCAGACGAACAACGCCCCGTGGCGGGTCACGAGGCAACCACTTGTCGTCGCTGGTTTTCTTGGTCGACGCAGGTGAGGATGTACAGCATCGCGTGGTCTTGCATGGCGACCGCCAGCTCTAGAAATGGCGCGGTCATTCGTTTACAGTACCCACGCAACTAGACGTGTTGAAGGATGGCAAGACTCGCTTTCTCCACCATCGATGTGATCGCCGTCTTTGTGAGCTCGACGCTTGCTGCGACGAGGTTGACGGCCTCGCGGTGCGTCTCGCCACGCAGCAGAGCGTCGCCGACGTGCATAGCGAAGAGTCCCAATGCAGCCAGCGCTGAACGAGCGCCACGTCGCCTTCGACAACCGAGAGATGGAGCGCAGTCGTAGAAGCTCGGCGAGACAAAGAGCGCGTGCTTGGTCGTGGCATGCGCTGAAGGTACGGCAGCGACGCGAACCGGGCTCGACGTGGACCCCGTTTGATCTCCGTTTGTAAGCCGCGAGCACGGCGTGAGCTCGACAGTGTCGGAGAGGCCAGCCGCCAAGTCCCAGAGGGGTGGCTCAACCTGGCCAAGTCCTGTTCCTGGAACGACACAAATGGCGGCTTGGGTTGCTGTCGACTCGAACAGAGTGCTTCTTGCGCATTTGATTGTTGATCAGTCTGTCATCACTCGTCGTGCTTATGTCTGCAGTCCTTTTTCCAGTTCACACGTATGAGCCGCTTGGAGTGCCATGTAGGCAGTTAGCCCAGGCTGCTTGATGAGAAGGAGCAATCGTATTGTACTACTAGCACATGAAACCAGGGATGCAACACTATGGTGATGGTACTCAAAATAAGCTCAGATTATGGTCGCGTCTATCTAATTTAGTCGACTTCCTCAATCTTGGGGCCCTGGGCGTGCGAGGCCGGAGGGGGGGCGCCAGCGCCGCCCATGTCGGGCATGCCGCCGGGCATACCGCCGGGAGCGCCACCAGCAGCAGCGTACATCTTCTGCATGATGGGGTTGGCAATGCCTTCGAGCTCCTTCTGCTTAGCCTCGAACTCCTCCTTCTCGGCCGACTGGTTGGCGTCGAGCCAGTTGATGACGTCGGTGACCTTGTCATCGATGGCCTTCTTGTCGGCCTCGTCGATCTTGCCCTGGAGCTTCTCGTCGTTGAGCGTGTTGCGGAGGTTGTACGCGTAGTTCTCGAGGCCGTTCTTGGCTTCGATGCGGAGCTTGTTAGCCTCGTCTTCCGACTTGTACTTCTCGGCTTCCTGGACCATGCGCTCAATGTCGTCCTTGGTGAGGCGACCCTTGTCGTTCGTGATCGTGATCTTGTTCTCCTTGCCGGTCGACTTCTCGACGGCCGAGACGTTCAAGATACCGTTGGCATCAATGTCGAACGTGACATCAATCTGGGGGACACCACGGGGCATGGGCGGGATGCCGTCGAGCGAGAACTTGCCGAGCAAGTTGTTGTCGCGCGTCATCGAGCGCTCGCCTTCGAAAACCTGGATCAAGACACCGGGCTGGTTGTCGGCGTACGTCGAGAACGTCTGCGACTTCTTCGTGGGCACCGTCGTGTTACGCTGGATGAGCGTCGTCATGACACCGCCGGCCGTCTCCAAACCGAGCGAGAGCGGCGTGACATCGAGGAGGAGCAAGTCCTGGAGCTTCTCCGACGAGTCGTTACCCGAAAGGATAGCGGCCTGGACCGTGGCACCGAAGGCGACGGCCTCATCGGGGTTGATCGACTTGCAGGGCTCCTTGCCGTTGAAGAAGTCCGAGAGCAGCTGCTGGACCTTGGGGATACGGGTCGAGCCACCGACAAGGACGACTTCGTGGACCTGGCTCTTCGAGAGCTTCGAGTCGCGGAGGACCTTCTCGACGGGTTCCATCGTCTTGCGGAAGTAGTCGCCGCACATGTCCTCGAAACGAGCGCGCGTGATGGTCGAGTTGAAGTCGATACCATCGAAGAGCGAGTCGATTTCGATGTAGGCCTGGGCCGACGACGAGAGCGTGCGCTTGGCGCGCTCGCAAGCCGTGCGGAGGCGGCGGAGGGCGCGCTGGTTGGCCGTCATGTCCTTGCGGTGCTTGCGCTTGAACTCAGCCGTGAAGTGGTCGACGAGGCGGTTGTCGAAATCTTCACCACCAAGGTGGGTATCACCAGCCGTGGCCTTGACTTCGAAGATGCCTTCCTCGATCGTCAAGAGCGAGACATCGAAGGTACCACCGCCAAGATCGAAGATGAGCACGTTGCGCTCACCGCCCTTCTTGTCGAGGCCGTACGCGATGGCGGCGGCCGTGGGCTCGTTGATGATGCGGAGCACGTTGAGGCCGGCAATGGCACCGGCATCCTTCGTGGCCTGGCGCTGCGAGTCGTTGAAGTAGGCCGGGACCGTGATGACGGCGTTGTTGACGGGCGAGCCGATGAAGGCCTCCGAGACTTCCTTCATCTTGATGAGGACCATCGACGAGATTTCCTCGGGCTGGAACGTCTTGGATTCGCCCTTGAACTCGACCGTGATCTGGGGCTTGTCGCCGGCGCCGGGCGTGACCTTGAAGGGCCAGTGCTTGATGTCGGCCTGCGTGGCGGGGTCGTTGAACTTGCGGCCGATGAGGCGCTTGGCGTCGAAGACCGTGTTGGTGGGGTTCATGGCCACCTGGTTCTTGGCGGCGTCACCGATGAGGCGCTCCGAGTCCGTGAAGGCGACGTACGAGGGCGTCGTGCGGTTACCCTGGTCGTTGGCGATGATCTCGACGCGGTCGTTCTGCCACACGCCGACGCACGAGTAGGTCGTACCGAGATCGATACCGACGGAAGCACCTTGGACACCAGACATCTTGTTGATTCTGAGCGAGCAAATTCGAAAATGATTTCCGGCCCGAGTGACTGGGACCGCAAAATGCACTTTCGAGAAGCACACATACAAACACCAAGCTCATGGGGTTTCAACGCATGGGATTGGAGGAAAGCGGTGCGGCCACCATCACGTCGCCCGCGGATTGGCTGAAACTCCGAATCTAGAAAGTTCGATGGTTTACACATCCAAGGCGCTGAGCTGTCGTGAATTTTATGATCAAGTCGATCCAGCTATGAAGTCAATGCGTCTATGCTCGAGGCGACAAGGAGGTTGATCGTTGTGGACAAGTCGTTTCGTGGACATGTGAGAGTTGCCTGCCCCGTCCAACGCAAGGACAGGGCGTGTGGGCCACACGTTTAATTCTTCGAATCCATTAGTCGACGACAGGGACCGAAACGGTCCATCGAAGACGAGATGGAGAGAGACCAAGATCATCTTTTGATTGTCGTGCAGAGGGGCGTCGAGAGACGACTCTGGAGGCACCCCAGGAGGCACCCAGTGTTTGAAATAGCAAAGGATCATCCGGAATCAAGTGGATGCCTGAGGTGTCGCGCCCAGTCGGGCAAGAGTGGCCCGACGTTTGTCCCAAAAAACCCACGCGCCACGTCGCCAGGTAGTCTAGTCGACGCAACCCGCACTTTAGTCGATCGAAGGCCGCCCGATCTTCGGTTGAGACCTTCGGTTAAAGCTTGTGGATCTTCGGCGAAGTTCGCACCGACGCCTTTCTACCGGATACGGCTGCGGTATCCGGTTACAACAAGAACGGACGATCGTTGCACCTCCGCAGTTCCCCAGCCGCTGCCCGCCGTGCCCACCACGATGGGTTCGCGACGCCAATGACCAGCGTCCATTGCTGACGCTTGGCTGTATATAGTGTCCAAGCCCACTGATGTCTACAAGGTGTTTGTCTCCAAGGACTACATGAAGTTCAATGCGGCCCACTTCATCGCGTACAAGGTGCATTTGCCTTCGGCAGCATGGCCGCACACTACCAACTAGGGCTTCCGCGAGCGCCTGCATGGCCACAACTACCGCTTGTCCGTGACCATTTACGGCCATTCGGTTGGCCACGACGGCTACGTGCTGGACTTGGTCAGATCAAGGCGGTGCGATCCTCGAGCCGCTTGGACCCGCCATGTCAAACACCCGTTGCTGTAGAGCGCGCGCAAGATTTGCAAGGAGCTCAACGAGCACTTTATCGTGCCCATCAAGAGCGACGTGTTGACGGTGCGACGGCATTACCGTACGAACGCTCATGACACCGCACATAGATTGTGGTCGATGACACCAACGTGCAGTTGACGACCGAAGACGGCCAAAAGTTCAGGTAATACATGCCTGCCTCGTACGACGCGCTCACGTAACATTAGCTTTCCCAAGTCGGACTGCTCGATCTTGCCCATTGTGCACTCGTCGGCGGAAGAGCTCGCCATCTACATTGTAGGACACAACGAACCTTGCAGCATCTAACTTCGTGCTAGAGCGGCCGCTTGATCGAAGAGTTTACGATGAACGAGCTCCAGGTAGACAGCGTCGCGTCTGTTACCTCGTAGCGCTAAATTAACGCGGTGTCCGTAGGCGCGCAACGTGTTCAAGCTCGAAATCAGCATCGCCGAGGCGGAGAACCAGCTCGCTTCGTACGAGCGCCACCTCACGTACGAGTAGAGTCGCATCGAGCAAATATCTCGTCCAGAATATAGAGCTTGCTTGAGTTGTACCCTTTTTCTTTTCGTCCCCGCATATCTCGGGCTTGGATCTGCCTGACGTTCCGCTTCGAATGGAAGCGTCGTCGATGCCTCCTCCCGTGTGTGGCCAGAACGGCACATCTTCAGGACGAGACGCGCGGCGTGAGGCGACAGAGCTCGCGCCTGACGATCGCGATGACGAGGTTGCCTTTCGATGCCGCAGTGCCACTTCGTGCTGACCACCATTGTCTCCTTCTGGACACTCGCCATACAAAGAGGCCATGTGCATCGCCGTGTTCTGAAGTTGGTGGGAAAGAAAAGCAGAAAGTAGAAATAAGTTAGTCGTCGATTCGTCGAGATAGATACTATGTACGCAGGAGATGATGATGATGGGAGGCTCATGCCACGGGCGAACTGAGCTGCATCGTGGTCGAAATGATGTGCTCGGTCGTGTGTTGCACGGACAGAAGGCGCGCCATGAGCTGCTGCATCTTCTCGGGCGTGTCGGCGCCGGACGCGTCCATCGTAAAGAAAGGCTTGGGCGACGGGACCGGCTCGGCCACCTTGGGCGTCGACTCGATCGCGAGGTCGAGGAGGATTGGAATCCGCGCCGCGAGCGACGGCTTACTCGGCGTCTTGTGCGTCGAGATGCAGCCGAGGCACATCTTGATGCGAACGTTCTTGGTCGCGACAGGGCTGAGCTCGGCGTTGGTGGTGGTGACGTTGACGCAGCAGCGGCGGCAGACGTTGGCGCGGCACCGACTGCACGAGCTCTTTCGGCGAAAGTAGGCTAAGGACGTGGCGCAGACGTTGCAGTGAGCCATGCTGGTTGGTAGGTGTGGTTGGTGGACGCGAAAATGAAAACTGAGCCACAAACGCCGAGCTGTTGTTCGGCGTGGCGTGGCCATGACGGGCTGACCTTATGGGTGTACCGGCTGGCGACATGCGTTTCGGCGCGATCCGAATTAGGCTCAAAAAGGCCTGATTCGAGACTTGAAGCAGGCAAGTGCCTAAATTTGAAGCGCATACGTCAGGGTTCATGGTTGCGACAGTGGCCAGCCCGAGGACACGACGAGGGGACGAGCAGGATTAAGTTCAGAAAGGAATGGCGCTGCTTCGTCTACGCGTCTCGCTGCTGCTCCAAGTCCATTCTTGGGTGGTTTGCAGTGCGGTCGAGGCCAGACATGGGTGCACCGCCTACAGTACTTGGCTCGCCAGCCAAGTGTTCGAGTGGCCCGCACGAGCTACCGGTACCGTACGCTTAACCTGCGGTGGTGTGTCGCAGTCTCGTGATTGCATCAAAATGGGAATTAGCGTCGCGGATGCCATTACACTGGTGGGCTCTCGCTCTGATGAATTTCCATCACACCAAGGCGCTACGCCCTTTCGGCGCCCTTTCCGTCAAAAGTCTCGCCAGTACGGTTGCTAGCGCTGCGGTTGAAGACGTGCGCCACACCACCGCGCTGGTTTGCAAGAATTGAAGACCGTGGCGGAGCACGAAGGGACTGTTGCAGGAATGCGCACTTGCCGTGTCCATGCACGCAATGGCATAATGTTGAAGCCGTGCGTGGACGCGCCACCTCGGACACGGCGATTACAATTGGGAAAATCGTGAGTTCTCGGGGTGCAGAACGAACGCTTGCATGACTGATGCTGCTCCATCACAGGCAGCGCGCATCGCCGTGTCTACGGTACACGCCTCGTGCAGTGTGTAGTGGGTGCATGGCCCGAATACGGTATACCTGGTAGACCTCTTTTGCATGGAAAGCACTTGGTTAAGCGTTGCTCCGCATCCCACGACGAGCAAGTGCTGTGCTGGAAGCAACTCGGATGGGGTAAGCGGGGTAGGCAAATGCACGACTATTTTCTGCCGACTCCATCGCCGATCGTGGATCGACAGTTGGCAGATCTTGCAGTGCCAAGACAGGCCAAGTTCAGAAGGCAAAATGGACGATCTGAGTCTGTCGTCGCCCACAGCGCATTTTGATGCAATCGCCGCGACCGGCTGTCGCTGGTGTCCACAACGCGCCGCTTCAAACCCCGCAGCACTAAAACCAAATTAGAAAGTCGACGGCGACATAGACATGGGCAAGTTCCACGTGCGACGCAGATTCGGCAAGTTTCGGATGACTCCAGTCGTCCTTTGTGTGTCGACACATGTATGCACACTACTGCTGGATTTATCGTTCAAGTTGTATCATCATCTAATATATCTACTACGCTTCGTTCACATCATGGTACGAGTGGGTCGAGCCGCGGCGGCGGCGCGGCGTCGCGGACGACGAGAGCACGGCCGAGGCCGGCGACGAGAGCACGTAGCCGACCGGGAGGTTGAAGTCCATCGCGTTGAGCTCCTCGGTCGAGTCGTCGTCCTCCTTGACCTCCATGGACTGCAGCGCCTGGAGCGCCATGTCGTTCCAGTCGATGCCGAGGTACTTGATGCCGAAGATTGTGAGCTTGAAGATCTCGGTGATGCACGTGCCATACCAGATCCCGACAAAGCCCCAGTCGAGCGCGATCGCGAGGAGGTAGCAGACCGGCAGCTGCACAAACCAGGACGCGAAGAACGAGACGTACGTCGCAATGTGCGTCTGGCCCATGCCGTTGAGCATCGCTTGGATCGACATTTCGAGCGACTCGAGCGTGAAGCCGAGGAGGAAGAGCGGCAGCACGAGGATGCACATGCCGAGGAGCTCGCTGTCCGAGGTGTACAAGCGGAAGATTTCGTGCCGGAGCAAAAAGACGCTGGCCGCCAGCACGACGCCGGTGAGGAGCGTGCACGTGAAGCCCATGAGCGAGATCTTCTGCGCCGAGATCGGGTGGCCAGCACCGAGGTGGTTGGCGACGCGGGCTTGCGTTGCGCAGCCAAAGCCCCAGAAGAGCGCCCACACGAGGCTCCAGAGCGTCGACATGACAGCGTTGGCAGCGATCGACTCGGACCCGAGCTTGGCCGCGATGAGCGACATGCAGCTCTGCGCCATGTTGACGACGAGGTTGTTGAGCGCGAGGGGCGTCGCCATGCGCATAAAGATAAGGAGGCGGTCGCGCGTGAGCTCTTCGAAGCGCCAGCCGCCCCACGCCTGCAGATGGTACTTCTTGTACACAAAGCAGTAGAGATACAGCGAGATGGGCTGGAACCACGACGCGAGCACGGTCGCGAGCGGCGACCCGTCAAAACCGAGGCCGCCCCAGCCCGCGTAGCCGTAAATGAGCACATAGTTGGCCGCGATCGTGAGCGCAATCGAGACGCAGCCGACGATCGTGATGGGGAAGACGATGCCCATGGCCTGGAAGTACTGGCGCATGCACGCGTAGAGCAGCGATGGCCAGATCGAGAAGGCGAGGATGCGGGCGAAGCGCGTGCCGAGCTCAATGATCTCCGGGTCCGAGGTCGCAAACTGCATGATGTAGCCGAGGCACCAATACCAAATAAATACCGGCACCATGAGCACCGTGACGACAAGGACCGCGAATTGGAGCCAGATGCCGACGAGCTGCGAGTTCTTCGCGCCCCACGCTTGGCCGCAGAGCTATCACAAGCGCGGACGATGAGCAATGCAGACGACGACAACGCAAGGAGCGGCATACCGTGACGAGCGACGAGGCGATGCTCCAGACTGTGAAGAGCGGGACCGCCGTCCAAATCGACGCCAGCGACGACGCGGCGAGCGCTTGCGTGCCGAGGTGCCCCAAGAACGCCGAGTCGATCGAGACGAGCGCGATACGGGCGACGCTGGCAAGACTCACTTGCACGGCCATTGAGGCGAGGGTGATGAACTCCTTGCGCGCGTCAAAGACATCCGTGTCGGCCTTCTTGACGAGGAGAGGGTCCGCTTCCTTCGCCATCGTGGTCATACTTCCTTGGTCGCCCTCACAAAAAGGAAATGATATTCGACGTCGGAATATCTTGCAGAAATGTCGCAGATCCGGATACGGGGCCAATTGGTTGGCTCGGATGCCAGTCGGCGTGCCACTCTGGCAGATGCGTGGGGTGATAGACGATAGATTAGAGCGATGGTGGGCTGATCGGCAGCGCCCCCACAGCGTCGATCTGCGTACTCGCCTAGAGCACTGTCCGTTCTATGAATCCTTATGCCTCTGGACGCCGGTCGCTCGAGGAAGCGGAGCGTTCGTGGAAGGGGCTCGGCGATGCCACCGTGCCTGCCGTGGCGTGCACGGCCCTTGTTTATGTGCCGGTATCCGGATGTGAAGTGGATCAGAGAGCGCTGCACCAAAGCCGTCCAGTCCCCGACCGAGCATACAAAACCCAAGAGAAGGGCGAGGGTTGAAGGCGCTGTGGACCTGGCAACGCAGACGGTCTCGGGAAGCCAGCTGTTACTGAGACGCTTCTGGGAAGTGCGTGCACTGAATTTACCCATCGCGGCCGCCACCCGCGCCCACAAGCAATTTCTATGGCAGTCTGCAGTGCCAGAGGGGGATGTAGAGTGGCCGACCAAGACGCATGAGTCATCGCAGCCGCACCACTCTTTGAACGGGCCAACCACGCGCACGGCGAAGCATCTTACAACGTCTTCTCCCCAGCGCGCAGATTCGTCGTTTGAATCGGGATGTGACATGCTCCTGCGACTTCCTGTTGCACATGGATGGAAGATGATTGCCTGGCCGTGTCATCGGGCAACTCCTTGCTTGCAACGCTGGCGCTGTACAGGCGATGGCAATGGTCTGTCGATTGCCGACGTCTCGAGGCGTCTAGACGCACGCAATGCGCGACCATGCACGCAAGGGACGCAAATGGGTGTCGCTTCGTGGTAGCCAGCACCGTGCACTGGAATCCCCCGAGGATGTAGCCAGCACTGTCCACTACCTGGTACAATCCTCCGAGGATGGATCCTCCCATGAAGTCGCCTAAAATTTGGGTGTTTTTAATCTCACCGCGGATTGGCCGCTTTTGGAGCCGCTCGGGCACCGATTGGTCGAGCCCAAGATCCGCGATTCGTGGTATCAACGCAGGACGGATGCAACGCTTCTTGACCCGCGCGCTCTCGACGTCGATCCCGCGCACGGCGGTGAAGGACCTTCTGGCGACGGCCCCGGGCGCCGATGCTAGCGTCTCTGGCTGGGTCAAATCGGTCCGCCGGCAAAAGAACGTGAGCTTCATCACGGTCAACGATGGGTCGTCGTTCCAGAGCCTCCAGGTCGTCTGCGACGGTGGCGACGACTTGGCCAAGGTGACAGTGGGCAGCAGCATTCGCGCGGTGGGTCGCGTCACGGCCGCGCCCAAGTCGGGCCAGGTCGAGATTCATGCGTCCGACGTGCACGTGTATGGGACGAGCGACGCATCGACGTACCCGCTCTCCAAGAAGTACCACACGCTCGAGTTTGTGCGCGAGCACCTCCATTTGCGTCCGCGCACCAACACGTTTGGCGCTGTCACGCGCGTGCGCAACGCGCTCAGGTCTGACCTCGATGATGTCGTCGACGGCTCCTGCATACACTCTGTAGCCAAGGACTCCACGCCTACTTTCAGTCGCAGGACTTTGTCCAAGTGCACGTACGCCATTCCGCTGCATCGATATTTCGACTGGCGGCATCATGGTAGACGCCGATTCTGACGTCCATCGACTGCGAAGGTGCGGGCGAGCAGTTCCGTGTCGAGCGCGAGTCCGGTGCCAAGAAAGAAGGTATCGCCAGCGACTTGATTCTGAGACTGACGCCGTCTCGTGCTAGATCCGTTCTTTGGCCTCCCAGCGTACCTCACTGTCTCTGGGCAGCTCCACGCGGAGATGTATGCGAGCGCGCTCACCAACGTCTATACGTTTGGCCCGACGTTCCGCGCAGAGAACAGCAACACGACGCGCCACCTCGCCGAATTCTGGATGCTCGAGCCGGAAATGGCGTTTGCGGGGCTGCCCGAGTGCATGACGACGGCCCAAGGCGCGGTGCAGAACGCCCTTCGCTTCGCGATGGACAAGTGTGGCGACGACCTCGCCTTCTTCCACGACCAAGTCGCCAAGGGCAACAAAGAAAAGAACCTGCTCGGGCAGCTCGAAACGGTGCTCTCGACGGACGCGTTCCCGCACTTGACGTATACGGAAGCCATTGATGTGCTCCAGAAGGCGCCCGTGTCCTTTGATTTGGCGCCCGAGTGGGGTACCACCTCGACGAGTCGATCATGGCGATGCTAATATGATGCTAGGGATGGACCTCAAGACCGAGCACGAACGGTACCTTGCGGAGAAGCACGTGGGCGGCCCCGTCTTTGTGACCGACTACCCAGCCGCGCTCAAGGCCTTTTACATGCGGCTCAACGACGACACGGAGCCGGACCGCGCGACGGTGGCCGGCATGGACCTTCTCGTGCCCGCGATCGGCGAGCTCGTCGGTGGCAGTGTCCGTGAAGACCGCTTAGATGTACGATCTGATGAATATTGTCCGTTGATGCGCATGCTGAATGCTGTTTTGACTACTAGGTGCTGCAGCGCAAGATGGCCGATGCCGACGTCGACCCGACGGGTCTCGAGTGGTACCTGGATCTGCGCCGGTATGGCTCGGTGCCGCACGCGGGCTGGGGCATGGGTTTTGAGCGCCTTGTGCTCTTTGCGACAGGCCTGGAAAACATCCGCGATGCCATTCCCGTGCCTCGGTACCCCGGTGCATGCAAGCATTAGCGGGCCTCACAAGAAACGATTTGGTGGTTTGAATTTTGTTGTGTACTTTACGCTCCAACGCGAGGCCGTTTTCGCCGCGGTTGCGTCGCCCGCAAGCGCTCGTTCTCCTGGATCTGCGCGTCCAGCAACGCCTGCAGCGAAGCAATTTGCTGCCGGGCGGTCGCGAGCTGTGCGTGTACATCCTCCTCGTCTTGGGCCGGTGCCTCGACCTCGGTGCTGCTTGGGCGTGGCACTTCCTCAGACGGACGAGGTTCGACCATGGCCTGTTTGATGCCCAAGAGAAGGTTCACAGGGTCTTCGTTGTCTTCTTGGGGCGGCTCGTCAACCTTGGCTTCTTGTCGCAGAATGAGCCGCGTCCTGATCGTGCTCAAGTTGGGCAGCGACTGGTTGGAGAAGACAATGACATCGGCCGGTAAGATCTTGGGTTGTGTCTCTGGCGCTTCGTTCGTGACGTACGGGCGAATCATGCAATTGCCCTCGACGTGTGGCAGCTTGCGCTTAAAGTAGATGGGCTCTTTCACGGCCGGTAGGAGCTCGAGCGGTGCCGACGCCCGCGTTCGCTTTGGCACTGACTTGCGCTTGATAAACTGAAGCAAGTCCGGCTCGTTCTTCTTGAAGAACGGGTGGCTGAACGTACAAATGTACGTTTTGGTCTTGGTCCACTTGCGAAAGCCAAAGTAGTTGAGCTGACGCTGGAACGACTGGAAGTTGTTGTGACTAAAGTACTTGGGTAGGATCTCGCGCGTCGCGCGGCCTGGGTCGAGGATCTGCAGCGACGCGCCGTCGTCCGCCCACTTGATCACGCTCGACTCTTCCTCCTCGAGAATGTCAAAGAGCTGGAGGAGGAACTTGGGGATCTCGGGCTTGAGCTTCGTGGGCACGAAGGCCGTTGCGTTGAAGTGCTCGAGCGGCCCGTCCGACGACGCGTCGCTCGGGCTCGTCGCGCCCTTGGGCTCGGCGGGCAGCAGAATCTTGGGCATCGGCCAAACTTGGAGTACGCCCGTAAATTCGACGGGATAGAGACTTCGATTTTTAGAATACTTCTACGTATTTTAGAACGTTCACGCTCATTGGCTGAAATGCGGGGGAAAACCCAGCGAAAAACAACGAATGCATACGACGCCGACAGACGCGGGCCGTGGACTCGACGGCCTCGCAACGCGTCGCGCCCGACGACAGCGCGATCATCCGCTCGCCTCGGTCTAGCGCCGCGCTACGTCCCGTATCGGCGTTTCATTGGTGTAAAAATACACGAATAATGCCCAATGAGGCGCTTCGACAAAACGTTCGCCATGTAGACTTATGTAGAAACGGTAGCAATCGCGCGAGCGCGCACCTAAGAGGAGATGACAGTCCTTGTCGACGGGAGCTCGTTGCGTCAATGAACGCCTAGTGAGATACAACTTGCTGACAACCCACGATACAAACACAATAGTGTCTGCGCGCGGCTTCTTGTCTGCGTGTGGAGCAATTTCTGATCCCTCCCTTGGGAGGACCACACGACGATGGAGCCTGGACTGGGCGCGTATCCACAAGCTGGTCAACGGCGTATGCACTATCAACACGGTTCCAAGCGCCGATGGGGCTGAAGTTTAGCAAGCCTTTTACGTAGTACTACTATACAAGCAGAGAGCAACAACAAGGAAAGGATTGCGAAATCTTGTTACCCGATCGCAACGCAAACATACACCACTCGAGCTACGTTGCCGGCGTGTTTGTACTGTCTTAGCGCATGAATAGCAATTGGTACGCAGGCCTTCTCTGGTGCCATTCGTTTTGCCGTCCGTAGACCTGGGCGTGGCGTACCCCGGTGACGCAACTACCGTGAGGTGGTTTACTCCGAGTGTGCTCGCGGCCGTTGCCAACAACATGCAGCTAGCCGCCCGTTTGATCGGAACAGCTCCGCGGCCTAAAGTCTGGGGTGCGCAGCCCTCCCGGCAGGTGGTCGCCCTGTCGGAAGCTGTTGCAGCTGGTCTAATCACTCACACGTGTCTTCACCCCCAGATATTGTTTCCGGCACGCGCGCTGCTCATTTCAGGTCTTGGCTATGCGACCCAGCTCGCGCCAACGTGGTCCGCATCAACTGCTCGTCACGTTCCGACGTATCCAATATGTCGGTGTCCCGACCAGCTCGCGTCGCCCCCTCCTCGCCGCTTGATGTGCGGTCTGTCGTGTCTCGGTGTGGTACGGCATGTCTCCCCGACGGTGCACGCCCGGGACGGTTTTGCTGGATTTCAACCTCCACACGCCCCACAGCTGATTACATGCGGCTCGTCTTGTGTACTTCAGCTCTGTCGCACGCGAAGATTCTCAACGCTGGCGACGGCTTTCCGTGCGGGACACATGCGTCGCGTGTGGCAACGACCGATCAAGGAAGGCGAAGAGCGGCCGATGGCTGGGCAGCTTCTCATGGGTGGCGGGCGACGAGCGGCCCTCCAGCATGCGCCGCCAAAGCACGCGTTCAAGGTCCGCGGTAACATGGGCGCCAAAGAAGATGCACCACTGCACCACTCGTGACCACTCAAGGCGGCACCGAGCCACATCGGTGTGGTGCGTTCCGGTTCCCAGCGACCTCCAGCACGTGTGCCCCGGTATCGCCTGGCTGCTTTTGAATGAGCTCCATTCAAGAAGCCTCGGGTGTGCGATGGACAAGATCCGGTATCTCGGCAACTTTTGCTCAAACCATGTGCCGCAACCAATCCCAGATACGCTACAGCTTCTCGCTCACGCTTAATGGGCACCACCGCACCCGGCCTCTGGTTTAGCTCCAACAGTGTCGTCTCGTCGTGTTGGACCAGCCAGGGATACCACATAAAATAGACTCTCATTTTCCAAAGGGTGGGCGACGTCGAGTGCCAAAGCGCCCTCTAGAGATGCACCTAGCCATGGGATGATGGTGGCTGTGGCAGTCGTCTCGTTGACGATAGCATGGCGCGCGCCATGCATCCACTGTCCCGAGCGATCCTCGTAGTAGGTATTAACGCTGGTAGAATCCTTGCAATGCGCTTCCATCCTATGCTCTCGCGCTGCCATCACAACGAACCTCCTCGCTGCAGTCAATATGTCCAGCATATTGAATGTACGCCGCAGGGTCAGAGCTGCCACGTCATGCCAGCTCTTGGTTGCCGACTGCGTCTTCATGAGGCTTTTCGTACCGGTATATCCGGATAAGATGTGGGAGCGAGTTTTACGTGGGTTTTACCTGCGAGTAAAAAGGACGCGGTGCGTCGGATTTCGAGCGTAACCGGACGTTTGTATCCGGATACGACGCTCCAAATAACTGGCCGGAGCGAACTTTGCAATCGATCGAGTGAAGATGGCGACCCGCGGTGTGTGGCAACTGGAGAAGCTGACGATCCGCTACTGCCAGTACGGCGGCAGCAGCCGCTACGTGCGCGACCTCCTCAAGGACCAGCGCTTCTTGGCCTTCGTGGCCGAGAACCCGCAGGTGACCTTTGAGACGGAGCTTAAGGGCAACCGCCACCCCGTGCTCATTGGCGACTACATCACCAAGGAGCAAAAGGTCTGCGACGTCAAGAACCAGGAGATCCCGTTCGTGATGCAGATGATCCAGCGCCTGCGCGACACGAGCGGCCGCAAGATGACCAAGGTCAACGCGCCCGTGCTCTCGAAGCGCCCGACGATCCAGGGCATCTGGCAGCCCGACACGGCCGAGCTCTTTGAGAAGACGACGTTCGAGATTGAGCACCGCTCGCAGTAATTACTAGTAGACACGACCCTTTGGATATAGTCGTCGCCTTGTATTAATCGTTTGGGTTGCTCTGTGCCCCCAATCGTACGCCAGATCGTACGCTGTTGGCAGACCAACGATGAGGACATACTCAGTATTGGCAACCTCGATGCTTCATGAGGCGAGGGTAAACGGGCCATGGAGACACAGCCCTGACGCGAATGGGCTGTCTCGATGCTCGATCAGTGGTCATGATCTGCTTTTCTTCGAGCGTCTTTGATTACATGGGAGGCGCCGCAAGGACATAATCAAATAGTATATTATCCGAGGTGGCAGCAAAGGGTCCCACAATCTGACGCGCGGTGACCGCAAGCCGCCTCAAAAGTGGCCGGGCCCCAAGAGGCACGACAAGGAAAAGGGGAGGCAAGCTTAGAAACCGTGCAACTGGATTTGGCTCTCAAGGCAGATCTCCTGGTCCACGAGGAAGCTCTTGACGTTCGAGCGCTGGTCACCCGAGAGCTGGATGATTTCACCGAGCTCTTCGTCCTTGACAATGGCGCCGTTGCAGCTAAAGTTCTTCTTGAAGGCCTTCAAGATGCGCTTGATGTCCAAGTCATCCGCGAGACCCTGCACCGTCGAGATACACTTGCGGCCGTTACGCTGCTGGACGCGGACGTGGACCTTGCCCGAGCCGACGCCGGAGCTGTCGGCAGCGTCTTCGAAGGCGTCTAAACCAAGCCGCGTTAGCACCATTGGACGGCCATGGCCGGCGAAGGGACTTGGCACATGCTGCTAGCCCCATGTTCGCGACGCCTGCATGCACGTACTGAAGTTGGAGAAGCTGGGGATCGTCGACATGCTGGCGAGATGCGGGAGTGATTGGTTATGGACGACGAAAGCAGCAGCCGGCCGCCGGATAATGCGGTCGCCGACCGGATATGCCTGTCCGGTTTCAATTCCGGATGGCGGGAGTTCAAAAAGCGCACTTGACCGAGCAATTGGGAGCACTGACTAGACGAACACCACTTGTCGTCGACCTGCATTTCAATGCAACGACGCACGAGCGATGATCGCCATGGCTCTCCTGCGCAGCCTAGTCGACAAGACAACTTGATTTGTGTAGCGACCAACGCCGTCTGTTCGTGAAGGATGGTTGCGTGGTTGTTCGTATGGTCGGAGAGTGATCTGATGTGAGGTTGCAGCGCAGCATTTAAAAGTGACCTGCAGTGCGATGATGTAAATTCTAGCTTGCAGTGTCAAGCCTGCCAGCATGTCCTTGGATCACTGTTTAATGCTGCTACGTTGACGCCATATTGATGACAATTATGTGCTGCTCATGGGCGAGCGGGCTACTAAATGGCGTGTTTTTATCCTACGGCGACCTGCGTGTTCGAAATTCGACTAAGTCCGCTTTAGCCGCAAGCCGTTTTGTGCATTTGTGGAACGGGCCATCGTGGAAATGGGTGAACCTGGGGATGCGCAGGGCTTGATGGTCTGGGAGAAGCGCAAGCGCGTGAAGCCGACGATATTCCAGGTGGAGGACTATGAGCCGAAAAAGCGGCAGACGAAGCCGGCGGCGAAGAAGCCTGCTCCTGCCAAGGCCAAGGCGACGAGCAAGGCGAAGAAGCAGGAGGACGATGCCGAGGTCAAGCCAGCCAAGAAGGCCAAGACCAGCGCCAAGAAAGAACCAGCGCCCAGCAAGGGTCTCGATATCGCCGAGTTCAAGAAGCTCCTGGGTAGTCCGTTCTATTTGGAAGATGGCGCCGAGTGGCATGGCACCGACATTGACTTTGACGAGCTCGCGACGTTGCGATCCATGTGGCAGCTTCCGGCCGCGTGCCACATTCTCTGGCTTCTCCAGCGACCACTCAACTTGAAGATCTACGGCACGCTGCGCGAGTACGAAGCGGCGCTCCTCAACCCCGAGACGAGCGTCGTGCTTGAAGAGGTCTTTACAAAGCTGCTGCTCGCCAAGAAGGAACGCGACCGGCTGGCGCAAGGGGCTGGGCTCACGTACGACTGGTGGAACAAGCGACTGAAGGAGCATTATGCGGGCCGGTACCAAAAGCTGGCCAGTCTCAAGCGACGAGCCAACGCCACGTCCGGGTCGGACGAGCCAGTCGACGACGAGGACGACAACGAGGACGACGAAAACAATAGCAACACGGGCGACGAGTCCGTCGACGAGACGCCCAAGCCTTCGCGTCGACTCAAGGATTTGTCGGACGACGAGTGGGCGCTTCTGGACCGTCTTGGCGCAAGCTTGGGACTGCTCGGCGACAAAAACCCGCTTGAGGTCCGTTCTCTCTTGTCACGTACGCGGCCTTATCTCGAGCTGTAGACGCACGACTTTAAGGCTCTCGACCCACGCACGCGCTGCTTGGTCCTCCTCGACTTGTGCGAGTCGACCGTGAGCCACCCATCCAACTTGTGCGGCCGCACCCTCCACCTCGACCTCATATCATCATATTGCCTTAGGGAGTACATTCGCGAAATGGAGGACGACGACTTGCGCGTGCAGCCCATTGGCACGGACCGGGTCGGGAACCGGTACTTTTACTATGCGCAGTTTTACCACGAGCGCCGCGTGTACCGTCTCTCGCCGGACGCCGATGCGTCGTGGGAGCTCTGGGCCAAGGGGCTGGACACTGTCACGGCGCTGCACGACGCGCTGTTGCTGGCGACGAAGCGCGGCCGCCGTGTCGCTGGCGAGACCGAGCTCATCGACCACGTGGAAGCGATGCTGGAGATGATGCACAACGACGCCGCTGACATGAAGCGTGAGGAAGAGAAGGCACTCAAACGCGTACGCTTGCTCCCTGCACTTGGATGGACGAATAATCCTCTGGCGCGTAGGCGATTCTCGAGGCCATGCCCCGCAAACGCTCAGCGCGCATCCAAGTGCTCACGATGGAAAAGTTTGAAGAAGAGCAGCAAGAGCGCGAAACACGCCTTGCGAAAGAGTCGGCCGAGGAAGGTACTCGACGCACGCATGGATTACTATTAGCCAGCGGGAATTGAACTGCGTCTAGAACGCCGACGGCACAAGGCGGATGCCGCCACTGCCAAAGAAATGGAGCGCAAGCGTCTCTTGACCGAAATGGACCAGCGCCAGGCGTTGAATACGGACCGGCTAACGCGGCGCCAGAAGAAGCTCGTAGAAGAAAAGGCGTAGCCACTTGCAATCAAGTGCTGATTGAGTCATCTCTGCCACCATCTCTTCTACATTGGCCGTCGTGTGGGCCGATGCACTCTTGTAACGTGCCGCCCGACCACACGACGCAGCCTGTGACTCACACTACAAATCGCGGCTGCGGCGCGCTACACACTGCTTGGCGGTGCGCAGGGAGCGTTGGGAGTACGGGAGCCGACACCATAACCATCGACTGCCCCCGATCGCCACGCCCCTTGGCGGTTCTGTGTCGGTGGCCATGCATTGTGTGAGATAGTAGCGTTCGCACCCAGCCACGTTTCTGTGATTGCGTGTTCTTGACAGCTACTACTGACTGCAGCAGTTCCTGAAGTATCTTTTCGCCCTGGCTCACTACTACAGGCCACGAGGCGCGCTTTCATTCCTGCACATCGGGGCCGGTATGTTGCGTCTTATGACCCACGCGCGTTGCGAGCCATGGGAATGGCGTTCATATCAAAGGAATTCTTATTGCGGTAGCGAGCACGCGAAGACTCGTCGCGTCTATGGCGTGAGGTCGTATTTCTGAGCTCAAGTCGCCACGGTTGATGTAAACAGACTTCTCGCTTCTCCTCCCGACAGCGGACGCAACGAGCAGAGCCGCTAGTAGGAACATAGTCGTGCTCCTCTCGTAGTACATTGTAATTTGTGTGAGAAAACCCGTCGCTCCACCATCACCCGCGTGTCTATATGTGATCGTCGGCTCGCCTCGCGCAAAGGGCCAAGGGCATGTTCGATATTTTATAGAACCCGCGCTATCGTTGCAGCGGCAATGTGCCAGGTCTTCATGAATGGCTGGGCGGCCCCAGGTGCCAACATCCGGTGCAACCAGCTGCTGGCATTCGCACAAACAAGTACCTTTTGAAAGAGTAGCTTGTTTATGCGGCGGCATTAGCCAATCGTACGCCGTATATTCGGGCCGGTAGGTTGATGTATGGCAATTCATAGCAGCGTCGCAAGCACGGAGTGGGTTTTATCACACAAATGTGTGGCTGGGATCTTGTCTCTGGCACGGACCAAACGCGAATTCATAAGTTGCTCACGCTCCCTAGCTTTTTTAAACCGTCCGCCAGGGACACGCACGCTCGTACGCCAAGTCGCGATCCCTCTTCATTTGTGAACTTCTCGCAACCCCACCACACCCCACCCCACCACAACCACAATGCCCAAGTCGCAAGCGAGCCCCCGGGATTCGATGACGGCGGTCCGCAAGTACCATGCCTTTGTGATTGCGCGGCTCTTGAACGACAGCGCGTCCAAGCACCGTGTCCCGCACACGACAATTGCGACCAAGCTCGCCAAAGTCGCGCTCAAGATGGAATTCCGCATCTTCAAACTCACGCGCGGTCGACTTTTGGACGAGAACGCCATTAAACTCTACTTGACGCACTTGACGCAGCAGGCGCACCGACGCCACCGGCGCCAGCTCCAGTCCGAAAAGCGGAAATGATCAAGGTCGCGTAGATCCGAGCGCAAGAGTATCGGCGACTCTATTTATTGACTACTAGTACCTACTTACAATGAATTTGAAATAATAAAAAATCACCCCGACGCCCCTTCTTGTATGCTTGGAACAAGGTGGTCCGATGAATCGCTTGGAGATCGATTCTTCGTAAAGAGATGGACTGACGGACCAGGGAGGGCGTTCCTTTTATGTGCCTTGTCTGCTGGCAACCGCTGTATTTTTCACCGCATCATTGACGACCACATGGTGTTGGTTGTCGATGCGATAATCGTTCGCACGCTAGACCATTTGGGCTTCTGTTCCATTCGACGACGACCTCGCTGGCCAAACGAGGGTGATCGAGGGACCCGCTATCGACTTGCGTTACACTAGGTCGTAGTGCACGCCTTGTACCGCTCTACTAGAGCTTCTGCTACAGTACCTCATTGATTAGAATAGAGTCATCAATCAATCAATCAAACGTGTTCGCGTTGCTACTACGCCTGAATGCGTGGGAGTTGGCACCAGCACTTGGTCGTTGGGAGTGAGCTGCACAGGGAGAGATCCATCCCGTGGTGGACCCCACTCGCTGAGGGACTAGAGTCATGGAAAAACATCACGGTGTCGACTTGCTCTTCAACACAAGGTCGTAAAACGTAACGTAGCGCATCTCATCGATGCGGCGGGCGCCCCATTCAAAGCGGGGCACGAGTCGCTTCCTGAGATTTGTGGCCGTTCGCCGAAATCCGAGCTTGAACACCGCCGCGCGCGCTTTTGGTGCCATGGACGCGACGTTGGTTTCGTGCGAATGTCCTGCCGCCAACACCACCGTTTCGATCACCTTGCGGGCTTTGGAGAGCTTGCTCCGGTCGCTAAGTTTCGTCAGGTCGAACGAGCGCAGCTTCCGCAAGGGGCCGATGCCACTCGCCGGAATCCCTTCATACCACATGCACCAAAGGCGGTGCACCGTGCAGGGTGGCAGCACGAAATCGGCTGGCACCGGGTGGGACCGCCCGCCCCACGAAAACGTCGGCACACTTGGCTCTGACGTGGCAAACTCTGGATCGGAGCTGCTCTCGGCAGCCATCGTGAGAAGGCAGCGCGCCGTCATGTGGTCGTGTGCCTTCGTCGTCGCTTGGGCGGATTGCTGCACACCGTTCAACAAGGACCCTAACAGCACAGTCAATGCTTTAAATAATCGTAGTTTTGCTCCATCAATCCACCTGGCTCTTCCTGCGTGACCACGGTGCCGTCTTCGCGGTTGGTGTGTGAAGCGTAGTTTTTGGTAAACGCTACGTCGATGGTCGTTGCTTGCCTTCTCGACGCATCCGATCGTAAGTGTCGTACCTTTGAGGGCGGCGCAAAGCTCTGGCGGTATCTCGACCTTGGCTTCCTTGTGGAGGTAGACTAGAGCACTTGACGCATTGCCCACGTGCGAGGCTGATGTTGTTTGGCGGGGCTCGAGCGGCATCCCGCGCTTGTCGCACTTGATGGAAATGAAGGCCAAGTAGCTTGTGGCGACGCATGCTGGGAGCGGCAAGACGACGCTGTTGTTGAGCACGAGCGCTGCATGACGCTCTTGGAGCCATGCGAGGAGGCGCTTGTTCAGTGCGTTGTAGCGCTTGATCGTCTTCCCTTCACGGCCGCCAATATCCGTCTTGGCTGCTGATGCCGACGCATCCTCCTATAACGAGAGAGAGGCGTGGACGAAATGCCGGGTGGTATTCGCAGGATACTTGTATCGTAGCTGGGGCGGCTGCCGTCGAGACAGCCGTGCGCGACGCTGGACGCACTATTGCGGGACCTACAGTAAACTGCTCTTGCATTGCGCAGCGTTTGCCGGGTGCTTGGTGTGCGGACGTCTTTGAACTTCTTCGCTCGGGCGTGCTGGCCGTCACCGTCGTCGCCTTGCGCGGCTTCTTCGCTGGGCCACCGCTCTCGGGCGCTGCTCTCGCCTTGCCTGTGGTCGTCGCTAACGTTTCCGCGTCATGAGTGGCTGCCGCTGCGGTCATCGCTCCAGTCCGCCTCCATTCGGGCGCGACCATGCTGCGTCGACAGGTGTCGTCGGGCGCGGTGGGATGTCGACCATACATATTCCAAGTCACTTTGCGCGTTGCATGTCGGCTCCATGTGACATTGGCGCGCGTCGAATACGAAAATCAAGTCAAATCGCGCCGAGCCTATGTCTTCTTCTTCGTGCATGGGCTTGCAGAGCCAAAGCTGCAGTCAATGTACAAGTCGTCCATGACCTTTGCGAATACCTTATATTCATACGACGCAAGCAATCCACGCGGCGGCAACGGACGGAGCTTTCGTGCCCTCGGATCGCGTTCGGTACCGGTAGATCTACACTGGAGTACAGTGTACTCGCAATACAGTGTTTTGGGCTCTGGACCCGGCCACTTTAAAACCTCAAACTCTCTCTTCATAGCTCTGCTGCTGGTCATTCTGCTGCGTTGGTAGCCCAGCTCGGAAGCCGTCGTCGTCAGACTGTCGTCGTCGTCCTGAATTATTGACGTACGGTAGGCAGTGGCGCAAGCTTTCGAAGGCTTTGCGTAACGTCGTCCTTCGATCACTTGACAAGGGTGGCAAGCATGCACCACCAAGCACCACTGGTCGCGTGCATTGACCTCTCTCGCGCACGCCTCTCAACGACGGGATCGCTGCCTGCACACTTGCCTGCACACAGTGCTCCGAGGCGACATGGTGTTGGACCTCGATCGCGAGCATGCATCATGCATGATCCAGTGGCGCCACCCGACACAGCTGGGATCGGGTCCCACGCCGCGACATATCGCAGCATTCCAAGGTTCCTATAAACGTTACGATGCTTCGCACGACTGGCCCCAGACCACAAGGCCGACGCGCTTGCATCGCCGCAGGCCATCGTCTTCGACGCCCATGTGCGCCACAACCCAAGGAGGCATGCAAACGTTTAGTTAGTCGATCGCTCTTTTTGTAGTCGACGTCGCCTGCGACATCCATACCGCGCTTCTAGAATTTTTCTCGGCAGATGGAAGTCGCTGCCGGAGCAATCGGTAATACTAATATCTGGCTCTGGTCGTCGTGCTACACGGTGTGGTCAGTCTTCGATTCGTCTGGCCTGTCCCGCAGTAGTACCATGGTCCGCGGCCCGTCGACGCTCCTGGCGATGATGCTCCCGGCGGTCGTCGTCCTCGGCGCCGACCAGAACGACCCGACGCTGCCGGCCAAGTCGGGCGTCGGCATCTGGATCGACGTCGACACGCCCGCCGACAAGTACCAGATCACGAGCTCGCGCGGCGAGACGTGGGACCTCGTCATGAGCGACGAGTTTGAGATTGAGGACCGCAACTTTACGGCTGGCGAAGACCATCTCTGGACAGCGCTCGACATTCCCGACGGCGTGAACCGCGCCGTCGGCATCTACACGCCCGAGAACGCGATTACGCAGAACGGCTCGTTCCACATCCGCGTCGACTCGCGCGAGATTGACGTGAGCTTCTACAACGTCTGGTCCGACGTTCCGTCCTGGACGACGAAGAAGATGGTATCTCGCAATCTATCCTTCGAGGAGCCGATAGCACTCAACACCTTCCTCCTGTCTAGTGGTATGCCTCGGCGATGATGCAGACCTGGAACAAGTTTTGCATCCAAGGCGGCTTTGTCGAGATCTCGGCCAAGATGCCCGGTGCTACCAACAAGGAGTCGCTCAACTCGCACGTGACCGGCAAGCGCTGGGACGGCACCAAGGACATTCCCGTGAAACCCATGGACCGGATTCCCGAAATCCGGTTTTACCCAACCTGGCCGGGCCTTTGGATGATGGGCAATTTGGGCCGGGCGCTGTTTGCAGCATCGACCAACCGTGTCTGGCCTTGGACGTACAACGAGTGCGACGAGCGGTACCGGACGTCCCAGCGCATCTCTGCGTGCGATGCGAACCCTGGCTACGGTTTGAACCCGTACCAAGGTCGAGGGTCGCCCGAAATCGACATTCTCGAAGGCGGTGGCAGTGATATCTCGTCGTCGATCCAGATCGCGCCGGGCATGCCGGACGAGTACCGTCTGAAGTTCCCGGATATGCAGTACGAACGAACCAACTACACCGATCCCCAAGGTACTCATGCGCGCCAAAGATCTTATTGCTGACATGGATTCTTAGGTCGCAAGGGCCAGGGCCATCTCTTTTGCTACTACGAAAAGACGTGTACGACACCTGGGGCCAACATGGCCGACGTTCCGACGTCGGCGTTCGCGTCGCGCGGCCACAAGTCGTGGTACCAAGGCCTTCGATATGCTGCAAACGAACGGTGCACACCGGTGCAAGCATTAAAGCAGCAGTACGAGCCCGTCGCCAAGGCACAGAACGGCCCCATCATCGACAACCAGTGGGACGTCAAGACCATTAGCTCGGGCCGTGACCTCCATGCAGATCTGGGCCTCATCGATGGCAAGGGTCCACTTCATTGGGGCATCAACTACAACGGGACGTGCTTTCCGATTGCCAACGGCTACAAG